TAAGAAATGTACGCATTATCCTGCCCATGTAATTGTAACCCCTCTGTACAGTATGTTCACAAATAAAATTAAATTAAAAAAAAGAAATGTACTCATTATCTTGCCCATGTAATTGTAACCCCTCTGTACAGTATTTTCACAATAATAAAAAAAATTAAAAAAAAACAAAAGCAAGCTGAAGCCAATTCACTCTTTACGGCCTGGCCTATAGGGCACACCATCACTTTCACTATGTTCTGCTCGTTGACACAATCATAAAATTCTCCCCAGGCTCTCAAAGGGGGAAGTAGAAACTTCTTAGGGGTAGCAGAAAGGCTGAATCAGAAGACCATGAAATACTGCTGTGGCCACTTTTAGGATATAAACTCTGCCATACTTGGTTACCCGAGTTTAGTAAGGTACTTAGCAGGGTTGCTGGGTAGTAATGCTGCATCTTCTGCACTCATCCACAGCCATATCTAACTGGCTTTCTGCCTAGTTCCCACTCTGCTTCCTCAGAGCCAGCCTTTCCCACGATGGGGACCTGCTACAAAGACTCCTTATCACAGACTCTGTACCACACTAAGGACACCCAGGAGGAACTGAGGAGCATGCTGTCTCTGTCCTCAGACAGATTAATCAGTGTGACGTGAGCAAATTTTCTATGAAGAATGAGGTGAAAATCCCTCTGAGGCTGGACCAGACAGGATTAGCTCCTGGTGATATTTTTCTCATAAAGGACTTTCAAAAGGCTTGGGAGAATTTTGGGTGGGTTGTTTTTGAATAGAAGTATTAAAAAAAAAACTGTCCAAGTACACAGTAGCTTTTGTAGGGCTTATATTAAGAGAAAACCCTAACTGACAGTTTATGCCTGAAGGACTAGTTTATCATTAGCAGTGCTGTGTGGACTAGATACCATATGCCACCTGTCACTGAATTACTAGTACCAGAATGACCCGGGAAAACAAGTTAGGTTAGTAAGTAAACTATTGACACATCTACTACACATCCCCAGGTGCTACAATTTCTTCAAATCTTCTATTAAAGTGGCAAAAAAGGAACAAGGCTAACTTTATACCACATGTCAAGAACCTTATATGAATCTTGTGTTTGCAGCCATTATAAGGAACTCTTGTTTTGTATGTTTTGGCTGCAGTGTCTCCCACAAGGCTCAAGTATTGAAGGCTCAATTCCCCAGATGGCGGATCCAATAAGAGGTGACTAACTGCATCAGGCCTGACTTAATGCATGAACCCACTGACAAGTTCACAATGTGATGGTGTTACGGGGAGATGGTAGAAACTCTGAAGCAGGGCCTGGTTGGGGGAAGTGGATCACTGAGAGCATGTACTCTGGGGCTCTATCTCATCTCACGTTCCTTCCTCATCCTGTCAGGCCTCCTCCTTATCCTCTCTGCTTCCTCTGCCAAGAGAAGAGCATGTCAGTTTTACTCTACCCTCATCATCACATTCTGCCTATCAGCCCAGAAACCACAGAGCCTGCGCAGCCCATAGACAGTAGCCTCTGAAAATCAAAGCCAAAACAATTCTTTCCTCCAATAGCCTCTTTTTCTCAGCTATTTATCATGGAGACAATGCCTAACACAGGTTTGCCAATACAAAATTAGTTTAATTATCTTTACTATTAAACTCCTAGGTGGTATATCAATATGCTATACCTTATCAATCACTAAGTTAAAAATCCAAAGCCTAACTCCATACCCTAAAAACTGGCAGATCATATTCCATGTACTATTTTACAATGTACACAAGTTTATCAAATTTCCAAAGCATTCTTAATCCCACTCTGGCTAGTTAGGGGAGGCTTTCCTTACCAGAAAATGTGTAGAGTCAAATCATGCTAGGTTTAAACGATTCAAACATCTACAAATACAAGAGCATCATTAAGTCATCCAATATTCATGATATTCCTTCAATTTCTTGGAGACATTTATAAACTGTAGGTAAAAACCTAAAGCTAGCCTTAATTCATATTCCCATTAACCAAAATTCCTGGCCTCATCACTTTTCTCATCAAGCATTATGTTCACATATAATACGTAATAGTAAATTCACTTTTCATATATTTCATTATCCTAAAATAGCCACTTAGCTTTCAATACCAATGATTTAAAAAAAAACCCTAACAACTCCAGCTCTAGAACAAGTCTCCAGAAGTGACACTGGCTCCTATAAAATAAAACTGATACATGAACTTCTATCAAGGACAAACACATCCAGAGTCATCTGTTGGGAAGTCAGCAGAAAAAAGACAGGAAGTCACAGAAGGACCAAACTGAGATGGGTGGGACAAGGCCTGGGAGAAGACCATGTGTGTGTGGCCATGTGTACAGCTGAGGCCCAGCTGTTTTCCAAAGCAACTCTGCAAGGTGAGTACTGTGAATGTATATAAATATTTCTCTTGGTTTAGCTCATAATCCTCATGATTGTGACAATACAGAAAGAAAAAAAAAGCTCACTCCATGTCTAATTACCTAGGATGATGAGACTGTATTAATATGAACAATTAGAGCAAAATTTTAGGTGTAGTATTTTTATTCTTCTCCCTACCCAAGTAAGCCTGAGTGACTGAGCCTCCTTGTCCTGTTTTTGTCCCCCCGTTGCCAAAAGGAGCATTTCCTTCTGCCCGATTGCTCAGAGAGCACCTAAGCTTTGGCATCTGACTTGTAATGGGTCAGAGTTCGGGCGGAAGGATCTGTAGCATTGATCCACTTGGGCATCCAGTAATGGGTCAGCCAATCAGCCCGGCCTGGATAGTGGCGTTCAAAGATCTGACGGTAGTAATAGCCTTCTTTAGTCTTTGGAGTATTGAAGGGAAACTTCTGGGCAGCTGCTGCCATCATTGTATCATCAACCTATAAAAATAAGAGCAGAACAAACCAATGTTGTATTTGATGTAGTATTGGATCTGGTACCACAAATCAAAATGAAGTAAGAAAAGCATGACAATAAATTATACAAGACCCCTTGAGTCCTCTAACACCTAGAAAATGCTACCATAACAATATACATAGCTACAGGAATTTAAATACTCATGCACTTATTTGTAGTATTTAGGGTATTTAATTAGTTTGTACCTTAAATATCTGTCATTTGGCAGGTACCCTAAAACTGTGCTAAATTGTCAGTGATGATTAGTATTTCTCTCCTTTCTTTCTCTAGATTCTAGATACTAATATATAATCCTTGCTGCTACTTAACTCACATAATTCTTTTAAAAAAGATGGTTTATGGGGACTGTGGGTCTCTCCTTTAACCACAAAGCATTCAAACTAAATACAAAATGAGTAACTGAGATTGCAGCTCTATCCTACTCTGTAAGATATAATGACTGTAAACACATAATACCTCGTGCTCAATGTAATCCTGTAAAATCTTGAACCAGGAGTTCTTGACTGAGGTTATTCCATCACTGAATGCTTCCTTTGGTCGCCAGAGAATCTCTTTAGGTAGTAGGTTGGAGTCCTCAAACGTCTCTCTCAAGAGATGTTTCTCAATCCCATTCTGGCATGAAAACAAACAGAGCATCAATAAAGTCACTAATAGAACCTGAATGCAATGGGCAGTTTTTATCTAGAATTGATTTACCTACTTTGGGAATTCTCATTTCCGGTGGTAAAGACAAGTAATAAGAAGAAAATCGATGATCCAGAAATGGGACTCTTAGTTCAAGGCTGAAAGGGAAAATAAAAGATCTAAATCAAAATGAACACTTATTTAGCATCTGTCAGGTTAGATGATGAAATAGACCTTCCTGTAATCAACCAAACTGAGCAATGTCAACATTAGTCATTTTATAACACCCAGTAATGACTGCCCCCAGAAATCTTCGAAGTAAATCTATCACCTTGAGAATGAAACTGCCCACTTAAGACTAGTCCCTTTGTTTTTTCCCTGAACACTTATTTAAATGTGAACCTCAGAAAACAGAAAAGCTAAGAATCATGAGTAAACTAGTCATTTAGAATGCACCCTGCAGGGAGCTCGTTGTTGACATCTCTAATCCTTAGCTATTCAGAAGGCTGAGATGTGAGGATCAAAGTTTAAAGCCATCTTGGACAGGAAAGTCCATTTGACTTTTATCCCCACCAGAAAGCCAGAACTGGAGCTGTGTCTCAAGTGGTAGAATACTAGCCTTGAGAAAAAAAAGCTCAGGTACAATGACCAGACCCTGAGGTTAAGCTTCAGGACTGACACACACAAAAAGAATGCATGGGTAACACATTCAACAAAAAATGTACTCACTACCTTTCTTACATAACTGTAACCCTCTGTACATCACCTTGACAATAAAATTAAAAAAGAAAAAAAAAAGAATGTCCCTTGCCCAGAACAGTGTAAAGTGTAAGCATTTTCAGTTTATAAGTACAATGAAATGGCAGCATTTTCAGTTCAAAAGTACAGGGATCTTTTGTTTTATTTATTTTTTTTTGGGGGTCCAGT